CCAGTCTGTGTGCTAAGCTATGCTAAGCCATGCTAGTCAGGTGCAATAAAAAGAGACGCATCAATACGAAGCAAAGACCTCATTTTAACGGAACCGGTTTCCTCTGAAGGCGTCTCCTGGTGCAGAACCGGGCTCAGTACGCTACACTCAGATCATGTTTAATAAAACTCTGACATTTCAGTTGTTTCGTGCTCATCTCGTGTCGGTTCGGTGTTCTGGAATCATTTCTGTGTTTATTTTGGTGACTTGTGAGGAGACGTGTGGATGGAGCTGGTTCTGATGAAACATCCACATTTAGTTCAGGACTTCCTGCTTTGACAGTTTCTGGATGAGTCAGTTTCTTTGGTGATTTTTAAAAGAAAACACGTATTGGGGGTTTGCACTGTGGACGTCTGTTCTGCCGCCTCATTGGTTTGTTTCTGCTCTCTGGAGCGAATCTGCAGCTGGAGGTCAGAGGTCGTGGAGCTGCTGATGTTGTGACGTTCTCTCTGGAACCTCAAGTCCTCGGCTGGTCCGCCAACGTCCCTGAGGAGCCGAGCAGCAGAATAATTTACGGCTTTCCTCTCAGGTTCTGTCTTCTTCAGCTTTTCATCTCCTTCGGGTTCGATCTTCCTCCAGCTTCTCTCCAGTCTGAGCTCTGATTGGCTGAAAGAGACCTGCATCGATATTCTGCAGGAGAAGATGGAGGACGAAGAACAAATGTGGGCGACGGAGGCTGCTGCTGGAGCTTCAGTGAGTCAGTGATGTGTGGACACGACGAGGAGTTGCAGGTTTAAACACTTCATACAAGATCAGCAGCACCTTATTTATTTATGCAGCTTTACCTTCATACATCCCATAATGCTGATCAATACCGATGCTCTACAGAGAACACGACCAGAACCAGGTCCAGTGTTCACACTGAGACACCTGGATGGATGTAGAACTGATCTGGTGTCAGGTTCTACCAGAACCCAGATGTGTTCTTCCTCCTAAATGTCATGTGTCTATCTGCTGTACTGATGAAGTTCTGAGGCTCAGAAATGATGGAAAAAGTCCATTAAAGTGATCAATGTGGACCCTCCTCTCTGGACTTGAAGGACCTGGACCTCTGGAACATTCACAGTCTGAAGGTAGAACTCTGGTCAGTGGATACAGAACCAGATGTTCTAAGGAGGTTCTGGAGGGAATCAGGACAGATTTGGTTGGTTCTATAGAAAGTGATCTAGATTCTCTCCAAACAGAACCAGAACGTGCCCTGATGAAACCACATGATGCATCCGAAGGTTCAGGAGTTAAAGTGTGTTTATCAGCCCTAACCAGGTTAACTGTACCCAGATTAACTCTAACCAGGTTAACCCTAGCCAGGTTAACTATAACCAGGATAACTCTAATCAGGATAACTCTAACCAGGCTAACTCTAGCCAGGTTCACTCTGATCAGTTTAAATCTAACCAGGTAAACTCTAGCCAGATTAACTCTAACCAGGTTAACTCTGACCAGATTAAGTCTAACCAGG